AGCTCACCAATAGTCTAAGCTCTCTTCAACCCAGGAGCCTGTACTTGCCATTCCCTGTCTAGAGGCTTTCTAGCTACCATTTGCCTGGCTGCCTCATCTTTTTCTATCTGAATGGTGTCCCCCTAGAGAAGGCCTTCTGAGCAACCTACCTAAATTAGGCCTCAGTCACCCATAATTGTAACAACTCCTACTTTAATGGTGACATTCTATTTGCATCCTTTATGACATACTGAACAATTTTTTCTTTCCTTATTATTATGAGGGCCTTATCTTTTTTGTTGTTGATCATTATATCATTGTTAATGAAACATTGCTTAGTTTATAGAAGATACACAATAAAGATGGCTAAGTAATTAGTGAATTTAAAATACATAAAATGAATTCAAAGTTATTTAAGGCTGCTATAAAACTCATAATTGGTTTTGAGAAACACCTGATTTTAATATTATGAAATGTCTGAAAACAATAAACTTCAAATACTGGCTTAATAAAATATTTATATCCCTCATTGAGGATGGCTGCTTTACAGAAATCGTTTATTGATTTTTTAAAAAATGCTAATCTGTATTGAAAAGTTCTATTTCTGATCAGATATGAAAACATACTTGTTTAGTAACTAATACTTAAATATCAAATATAATCAACATCTAATTGTGATGAAAAAGGGTCCAGTGGACAGTTAGTGATGAAAAAAAAAAGTAGCCACTTAGGAACAGAAACTAATGATTCCTCAAGAATGCCAATTTTCACAGAAATGTCTAGTTTTCAGGGGTGGGGATGAGATATTTAAAATATGAAATTATAACAAAAAACATCATTAGACATCATTAGAAACATACTATAGAATCTCAGTAAACCCCTGACAGAAACATTCTGAGAATTAATTAAAGGTCATGGTGTGTTTTCTTTTCAGAATCACATGGGTGCTTGTGAGGCCTGAAAGGCTTAGCTACAAAGGATGACAATAGAGAAAGGACATTTACAGCAGTGTCACCTGACTAGTAGATCTGAATTCAGTAAATATATTTTAGTTTTGACAGACATTTTAACAATGATAGTAGGCAATAACAGAAATGCTACAACTACAATGGGTTTTTAAAATTAAATGAGTAAAAATATAATCACCAGCATAGAATCTGAAACCTGAAGTTTTGTAATTTTAAAAAAGTAAAAGTTAAACACAATCAGAAACAAAAGACAGACTGGAATTGGTCAAGGATACATATTATGTTTTTCTAGCATGTTTCTATGTAAAGGATGACTATAAAATTGTTCTGTAAGTAGCAATTTTCTCCTATTAACAGCACTAGTCATTGCTGAAAGAGTTGCTTGCTAGAAAAAAAACTTTCCCTGGATATTCTACACTTCAAAACAAATGGTAGCTGTCAAAATCTTACTGCATAATCTAAAATGGTAATCCACACACTGTATTTCATTTGTAATAAGTCTTTGTGATAAGGTTAACACATCAACATACAACACAAATAAGAGCACCAAAAAATGAAAATTACTTTGCTTATGCTTCTGTATTAGAATTTTATTTGCTAAGGGGTAGAAACAGATTTTCAAAATTCACAGTTAACTTAAAACAATAGTTTTAAGCCTTTATTCCTAGCCCTTACTGCCTTCAGGAAGGAGAGAACATCTGGTTATTTAAGGAACACAATATGTTCACATTTTCTATGACTTTTGATTCTAATTGGGTTTTAAAATTTTTTTGAATTGAACAACCAGCTACAACAATGTTTTAATCACTTCCTGTTTTTCAGACTGTCTTCCTGTCTTTCTAGCTTCATTTTGTGGACTGTGTATGGAATCTGCTTAACAGAAAAGAAAATGAGAGTCATGACTGGGCTGAAGAGCTAAGCTTAGGATTCCTATGTGCTGTGTGTAGGATCAGCATGCTCCATGAGATTTTTGAAAGCCAGTCTTGTAATAAAGTATATGCTTGAAAATCTCAACTGGGGCTTGGGGCCATTTATTACAGGTTCAAATACTGTCCATTGTAAACACAAGAATTGATGTGAGATGCACACAGGTAGGGTACCACTGGCTTGCAAACGAATGATAATACTGTAGCTCTTGTGCAGAAAGGTAGCTTAAGACCCAGGTTAAATTGCTAGCATTGCCACTCATAAGCTCTGTGACCCTGACTAAATCTTTAAGCTTCATCCTGATTCTAAACAGTTCCTCAGTGAAAGAGGAGTTAGACTATCTAACTCTTTTGCAGTTCTGAAATGCTGATAGCTTCAGTAAAGTACACTAAGGAAATTATTTGCTGAGTCATCTTTATTTTATAACATTTGAAGGTAGAAACAAGTTTTTAGGGAATTCTGACAGAACAAATTAAGGAATTAGATGCTCTTTAAGTTCAATAGGTAGGGCTAATTCACTGTCTTAATAAAAATTACACTGGCTATGGTGTGTGGACTGTAGATACAGGATCCAGGTGAGTGAGGTTCATTTAGATTAGAGTCAATGTGGGATTCTGGAAAGATACATAGTATTTGAAGCAGAATTCAGTTCTAGCAATATTTTCTTATCAAGTATATGTAGGACAAAGCAAGTCATTAAAAATGAGCAGGGGGCTGGAGGGATGGTTCAGTGGTTAAGAGCAATAGTTGCTCTTGCAGAAGACCTGGTTCAAATCCCAGCACCCACATGACAGCTAACAACTGTCTGCAGCTCCAGTTCCTGGAGATCCGACACCCTCTTCTGGCCTCTTCAGGCACTGCATGACATGGGTGCACTTACATACATTCAGGCATTAACACTCACAAAATAAAAACAAAGTTTAAAACAATTAGCAGGATTCATTGTTGAGGAGGAACAACTGATAAAAGGTGTGCATATGGGTAGGTAAAATGGAGTGTTACCCTGACTCAAAGGGGAGGAAATGGCCTAATTGAACCTGGAAATGGCTTCATGAAAAAGGCAGAATGGATGCCAGGAATCTCAGAAGGGAATGAGTAGATTCAAAGGCCAGAAAGCCACTCTTGCTAGCTTGGAGACCTCTAAGTCATCAATGCCTGGTATTCTGATACACTATTTGAAGCTTTCTCACTCTTCATGGCCATGTTTTCTGTTGGTAAGACTTTGAATGTAAAACAAGGATTTTGCTTTTTTAGATATTAAAGTTATTACTTTTCCCCCTTAAATCTGAAAGAAACTATATTTTTAATGCTTGTACAATTTGTTTCATTCTATTTTACCAAGATAAAAATGGCACACGCCTTTAATCCCAGCACTTGGGAGGCAGAGGCAGGCGGATCTCTGTGAGTTCAAGTCCAGCCTGGTCTACATAGTGAGTTCCAGGACAGCTGGGGCCACAGGAAGACCCTGCTTCAAAAAGACCAAAAAAAAAAAAAAAGATAGGCTAGCAAAATGGAAAAAAAAAATCACACTAACACGAAAGGCAGTGAGAGTCTATTGCTGGACTTAGTATAAGAATTTTGAAGCTGGACAACCGACTCATAAAAGGATCAGCCATATTTAGGTAGGTTAAAATTACTGATAGTTATGATAACACATTCATTTCCTTTGTCAAATGAACCAATCCCTGCCCACAAATAGGGAATTGAAATTTAGCAAACTTTTCCATCTTATAGCACTAAGAGTTTCTAAAGCTGAGGTGAAAGAATGAGCCTTAAATTTGTATCAAAACTTATATATCACTGACCAGCACCTCATCTTTGTTACTCTTTTTGTTGTTGGTGTTATTGTTAAAAAGTAAATGTGGTGCGGCACTGGTGGTATAGTGGTGGGGCTAGAGAGATGCTCAGTGATTCAAAGCACTGGCTGCTCTTGCAGAAGATCTGGGTTCAAATCCCAGCACCCACATGGTGGCTAACAGTCATTCATAACTCCAGTTCCAGGGGATCCAACACTCTCCTGTCCTTTCTGGACATTGCATGACACGGGTGCACTTGCATACATGCAGGCATTAACACTCATATACACAAAATAAAAATATATAAACAATAAAAGTAAATGTGACTTACATATATGTATATGTAGCTAGAAATAGAGATACAGTAAGCTTCCTTACACATCAAGGAAATGATAAGCTATGGTTAACACAATTGATTTGTGTAAAAGAGATGGTATAAAAAGTTCAAGTTTCTATAAAAAGCAGATATAGGCAGAAGAAAATTCCATGTCACAGAATAGAGAATATAATTAAAGATAATAGATGATCAAACAGAGCTTTGGCAACAGAACTCACAGACAGACTGACTGACTCAGAGACAGTTTGACAACTGCCAATGTGACTATTGGGAGGGTTGCCAAAGAGCCCAAGCTGGGGTTGCCATTAATGCCTGGCGCTCTGAGACTCCGTCTGAAGCTTTCTCACTCTTCATCCAATATTTTTGTTTGGCTCAAAAGTAGCAAGAATTCACAGATTTTTTTAGATCATTAAATGTTCTTATTTTCAAGAAATATAACATTAGTTGTAAAAGAGCACACTTTTTCTGTGAAGTGTAAAGAAAATTTTTGATGAATTGCTTAACACTCAAAGAGAGAAATCGGTGTTAAAGTCTGTTTAAATCTTTACTAGGTTACTTGCAAGCTATAAAATAAGAAATGTATCCACGGTAGTTCCTCCATACCTCACCGCAGCTCTTCTTTCTTCATGTGGCCCCAAAGATCCTACTTGAATAAATCATCACTTATGAGGGGCACCAAAAATAAGTTTGGCTGCAAGAAGTAGCAGTTGTTCAACTATTTCACTAAGCAATCAGGAAGGTGGGAGGGCAGGACAGCTGCTGAGTGACATGAGGACCCCTGGGCTCCCGTTTCTCAGGCCGCTGTCTACTGAATTTGTTTGCTAAAATGCTAGCCAATTAGATTCGTGAATTTTGGCTTGTAACTTTTGACAAATTCCACATTAGATAAATCATTCGTTAGGCAAATTCTACATTAGGAATTATTATACTCAGATGGAGCAGTGAATTTTTCATACAACTTAAGATTAGGCATATTTTCCTAAGAAAGCTTACCTTTGGGTCTCTAAGAAACAGAGCCTTAAGAATCAGTGAGTGCACATCCCCGATGAGTGGATAATGCATCAGAAGTCCGAGACAGGTCTGGTAGTTACTAGAAATCACTAAATAAGAGGAAAAATAATTCAGATACAATACTGTTTAAGATATTTTGCATTATGGTGACTTAAAAAATAATGGAGATCTAAAGAAAGCAAGGCAATAATTTAGGTGATTTGATACAAGGATATACAGAGAGGGTATCTCTGGCAAATGTCCTTTGGATCAGCGCACTGTATCGTTAACTGCAAGCTAACACACTAGCATTTATTCTTGGGGAGTGTTGAAGGAAGTTCATACACAGTCACATGCAATATAATTCTTACATGGATACATATTTACTGCCATTTATAGGACTGTGTATATGGATACCTTTAATTTTGCTCCTTAGACATTAGTAACAAAATCCACACAAATGGGAAAGCAGTTATAAGACAAATAGAAATAATTTACAGTCAGAAACACCTTCTCAGATCCTTTTTCTTTCTGCTGTTGGAAAAGCCACTTGCTATAGCTACTTCCCATTCCCCTCCCATGAGCACTGAGGGAGGGGGCAGGACTGGGCAAAATGAATAGTACAATCCATGTATGGAAGCACTTTATCATCTTCATTTCTGTTGCTGACCTGACAGCTTGTAATTTCATACATCTGCTTTCATTTGTAAAGCACTCACTTACCTACCCTTTCCATATCTCTTCAGACTCCTCTTATTTGTTCCTTTTCATATTCATGTTCAGTTACCTGTTGTCATATTTTCTCTAGACATTAAAAAGGCTAGGATAGAATGGTAAAATGTTTATGTGCAGTTTTTGTTGAAAATTAGTAAGTAAAAAAAATCAATTGACCTTTTAATTTAAAAAGGTATCTTTTTCAAATTCTATAATGATACTATATTTTAATAACTGGCCAGGAAAAAATTTTTACATATTTAAGAGATGCAAGAAAGTTTTGTGAAAAGTGTTTTAGTCTCAGTACTCAAAGATATGGGTTTGACTCTGAGGATTTCATTTGAATCTTTTGTAAAGTTGCCTAAAATGTTACTCTAAACCTGTTTGGGTCATCTCTATGAGCTTGTTTAGTCTTAGAAAAACTGCCTGCTTTGTTCAATGCAGCATCCTACTGAGTGCCTGCTAAAACAGGTTCTAAAGAGTGCCCTAAGCTAAGACAGGTTATAAAGATAAGCAAAAAAGAAGTCCTTGCTCTGAAGAAAATCAGAGTACAGAAAGGCCAAGGTACAGCACCAACAACTACTCCACTGAGATGGTAATGACTTACTGAAGACTTTTGGGACCAGAACTCAGGCTTATTTCATTTAATGTCTAGGAAAGTTTTATTATTAAGGGTATAATTGTCATCCTTGTTTTACACATGCAAAAGATGATATGTGGAGAGGGTAAGTCACTTGTTCAAATCACACTGCCTTGGAGTAATATTAAGGGGACTTAATGTGGGCATTTGTACCCATTATACAGTAACTTAAATATCCTGAAAGGTCAGACTAATGGAGCTGGATGTAAGTATGCATTTATTTTGAGGGACCAAGGCAATGATCCTATGTTATTATAACTATATAGCTTCGAAGCCATAAGAAGCTATAAAACACAGAATAGTGTATTAACATTCTACTTGTAAAACAAATGAAGCTAACGTTTTTCTCTTTCATCGATACATACCTATCACCAAATTTAATGAACATTTCCTGAGTATCTATTAAATGCCAGATATTCAGACTATGTGATGTCCCAACACTAAGGATATAAGGGTAGGTAAACCTGAGTCTCCTGCTTTGAGCTACTACCATCTTCAATTTACTAGCAAATCCTGCACTTTTAATTTGCAGTTACATTAAGTATTAAATCTCATTTGGAATAACTATGCCCAATTTAGGGCAGGTAGAAGAATTATACAGACTTGTTTATAAAACAAGGTAACAGGGATCTGAAACAATAACTTAGCACTGCTTCTAGGTAAGTCCTTCCCTCCTTCCTCTGCTCTCATGTTCCCCCTTCCCTTCTTGCAGTGCTTGGAACTGAACCTGAAGCCTTACGTATGCTAGGCAAGCACTCTACTACCGAACCATTCCCTCAGGGGTCTTACTCCTTATAGTAAATTTTTATTTACTATGAAAAACTAATATACAATATTGTTCCATCTCCAATGTTTACTCTACCAAATCCAGATAGGGTCATGGCAAAACCCAAGAAACCTAAAACAAAACAAGCCCTGAGTTTGCTTTCTACCTGTGTTTGAAATAAGTATGCTTCTATTTTAAAAGCAGAATACTGAAGCAACACTCTGAAGAGCTGATTCAGAGAAAGAAAAAACAAGTGAATGGTACCTAGAGAAACAACCAATTTGGAATAAAAAAACTAGGCTGGAATTGCTGGCCTTGTCATGTATTAAATGTGTGAAGTTAGGCAAGCAACTTAACATGTATGTATATTATTGATTACTTTTATGTTATTTTATGTGTATGAATGTATTGCCTGCATGTATATAAGTGTACCCATGTCATGCAATGCCCAAGGGGGTCCGAAGAGGACATTGGATCCCCTGGATCTAGAGTTATAGATGGTTGTTAGCCACTATGTGGGTGCTGGGACCCAAACTTGAGACCTCTGTAAGAGCACTCGGTGCTCTTAACCAGTGTTTCTCTACCTTTTCATCTCATTACTCACTGGAGAATAAAATGAGATGCTACAGTGTGAAAACAGTCTTTCGATAAAAATTATTAACACTGAGGCAATAACTGTCTCAGAGTCAAAGTGGCAAGCACTACTAGTCATGTAAGACTAGGCACAGAGCAAACAACCAAGGATTAAACATAAAGCAATGAGCCAATGACGAAACCTGAAGGTTTTCTCATAATTCACTACACTTCAGTGAAAATACTATCACGTACTCCTAATCAGAGCTCAAAGTCTATTACTCCCAAATCTGTACAATGCTATGTAAATGAAGCCTGAAAAATTTTGGAGACACTAAGATTAAGAAAAGAAGTAGTAAACTTGATTCACAGGTCTGCCTCTGTCTTTGCCCCCTAGTGGACTGAACCTGGGGTCCTGTTCATGTTAGGCAAGGGCTCTATTACTGTGCTGTATCACCAGACCAGTGTTTTGTTGTTGTCTTCTGTTTGTTTCCCTCCAGCTTCATCTCTCTTAATTTTTAACAGAAATGAAAAGAAAGGTTGGGGTATGGCTCAGTGGAAGAGCAATTGCCTAGCACATACAAGGCCCTGGGTTTCGTACCCAGCTCTATGAAACTGGTTTTGTTTTAAAAAGGCCAAGAACTGCTAACAGGCCCAAGTCATTTAGCAACACACTCTGTTCCAAATGCCAAAAATGTCAAAATGTCAAAAGTATGTGGGAGCTTGTATCTAATCCTTAAAAGATTTTAGGGTTACCTCTTCAGAGGGGAGAATGTTGGAGGGGAGTGAGTGGGCATGGATTTGATCAAAACACCTCATATGCATGTATGAAATTCTCGATAAAGTTTTTGTAAAAGTTAAAAAAAAAATAACTAAATCTGAATACAAACACATATAGGCACAAGTTTTATTTCTTTGTGATTGGTGGGTCTTAATACCTTACTCAGGAATATAAATGGTTGATGTATACATTGTATTTAAGGAGTGTTAACAGGGGCCAGTGAGATGGCTCAAGTTGTCCTGACCTTCATATGTTTGCTATGGCACAAGTGTACCCAAACCCACACCCACCCACCCACACCCACACCCACATAAACACACACAAAATGTTAAAAAACAAAACAAAATGGGGGGGCAAATGGGAGGGTGCCATTTGGGATACAGGTGAAAAAAAAAAAAAAAACCCTTAAAAGTGCAAGCAATATCCCTTTCCTCTAGTTATTTTGTGCATTCATTCATTGAAAACACATTAAATACCTATTTTTGTTTCGAATAGTGAGTTCAGCCGAAGGATGTGAAAAGAATACTTTCTCTTTGTAATCAGTGGCAGGGAAGGACAACAGTAACTGCAATAGAGTCAGGCTGGTAGATTAGGGGCTGTGAAGACTCCTAGGACAGAAGCCTGAGGTCAGCAAGGGTTTCTGCCAACATTATGAGGAGGTCAACGGAGCATGATACTGAGTAGCCCCTATCAAGGTAAAATGAAGATGTGGAGGGAGAACACCAGACAGAGGTTTTATTGTACACAGTGGACACCATGATGTCCCTTGGGAACGAGGTGAGTAGATAAACAAACTGTGGTACATCTGGAAAACAGAATATTATTCAGCCTGGGGACTGAATCTGGTGCCTTGTACATGTTAGGCAAGTACAACATGGAAGGACTTAAATGCTATTACTAGATGACATAAGCCAACCTGTAAGGCTTCACACTGCATTACCTTCACTACAGGACATTCTGGAAAAGGCAGAACTATGGAGACACAGGGGACCCTGGAGTTTGAGGGCAGTGAAATTACTCCATATGATTCCTTAATGGTGGAAACACAGTGGCTTGGATATAAATGCCCTAGTGGTTGATATATAAAGGCTTGCTTCTAGGAATGGTGGCACTATGAGAGTCTGCCTGATGGTCCTGGCAAGGGGTGGATAGCCTTGAAGGGACTGTGTGACCTAGCCTGTCCCCCAACTCTCCTACTCTCCCATTCCATGCTCCTGAAATGATTTTTTTTTTGTTTCTTCACCTTCTTCTACCATTAGGTTTCATCATGATGAGCTGCCATCACCAAAGGCACAAACCCATGGTGCTGACTGATCTTGGACTTGAACCTCTAGAAATGGGAGCCAAAATAAAGCTGTTTATCAAAAGTAGCCCACATCAAGTATTCAGTATAGTGATGGGGAACTGATAAATATGAACATCAAGAGTGACCCTAATGTCAACTATGGATTTGGAGTGACATTTATGTGTCAAGGTTCTCAGATGGAGGATGATGACAGTGAAAGAGACTGTAGGTGTATGATGGCAGAGGGTTAGTGGAAACTAGTTTCTGTTGTTTTGCTGTGACTTAAAACTTCTCTTAAAATACAAAATGCAGGGGCTGGGGAGATGGTTCATTGGGTAAAGTGCTTACTAC